CAATAGCCCCATAACACCTTTAGGTGTTTACTTTGGAGCATTTCACATCTCATTAGGATATAAACCTGGCACCCAGGCAACTAATAGTCTAGCTTAATGGGCGGAAAGGTTGTGTTAAGAAGTCACCGGCTCCTTATTAAGGAAACATTAGGCATGAGCCAGGATGTGTGTGGGTGTGTGCATGTGTGCTTGAGAGAGACAGGAAGACAGGCAGAGATGAACAGCAGGGAAATGACAGAGAAGAAAACAAACAGTTCTCCAGCAGAAGAGCCTTTCTGCCCAAGTGCCGCTTATTTGAGCTTAAACTCTGTCTCTGCCACCATGGTTACTTTTTTCACTGCTGTGTCCAAACACATGATGAGAAGCAACTGAAGGATGAAAGCGTTTATTTTGACTTATGGTATAAGAATGGATGCAGTCTATCTTGGCGAGGAAGGCAAGGCAACAGAAGCATGCGTGTATGAGTCATGCTTCTCTAGAAAAGCAGAACTAATGGGACAGACACATATAAACTTATTAAACCAGCTCGTATTAAAATATTTACATAAACGCATAAGAGCTCAAGAACCTGGTAGCTGCTGGGTCCCTAAGGCTGGGTGTCTCTGCAGTGGTGTGTTCCCGCAGTGACTATCTCTTACTGGAAAGGCTAGCAACCTCTCCAATGGTTGCTCGATCTACAAAGCTGGATGCTTCAGTAGTCACAATCTTGCTCTGAAAACTGAGAGGTTCCTGAAAAGTCATTTTTCCTTTCTCCCATGACAGAAACATGGAAACACTGGTTCTGGTATCAGTGAAGAATCATCATCATCACCATCAGCAGCAGCAGCATGAGTCAACTCTGCAGTTAAGGTCAACCGAGCAACAGTCCAGTAATGCTCATTCTGCTATACCCTTTTATCTGGACCACTATCAGAAGGTGCTACCACCTACTGTTGGGGTGGGTTGTCCCAAATCTGTTAAGACAATCAGGTGAGTTGAGTTCTTCAGTTGAGGCTTGATCCCCTCTGTATTCTATGAATATGTTATAATAATAATAATAATCAATATGCCATTGCTTAATAAAGAAGCTGCTTTCAGCCAATGACTTAACAGAGTAAAGCCAGGCAGAAAATCCAAACAGATGTAGAGAGAGTAGGCAGAATTGAAGAGATGCCTTATAGCCGCCATAAGAGACAGATGCCCCAGAACCTTACCAAGAAACCATGAGCCTTGTGGTAAAATATAAAATAATAGAAATGGGTTAATTTAAGATATAAAAGCCAGCTAGAAATACATTTAAGCTATTGGCCAAATAGTATTGCAATTATCATGGTTTCTGGGTGATTATTTTGGGTTTGGGCTGTTGGGGAGCAAACAATCAGCTTCCCTCTACAGAAGCTCAGGATTTCTAATTTTAACAACTTAACATCAGAACCAAACATAATAATGAGGCACCTGCTCATATTATGTCCACTGTCATGAAGAAGAAAGGACAGGAAGTGTGGCCTAGCTTTAAAACCTTAAGAATTGTCCCATAGTGACTACTTTTTCCAGTGAGATTTCACCTCCCAAAGGTTCCACAGCTTTCCAAAAATAGTGCCACTAGCTGGGGACAAGTGTTCCAACGTGTGAGTCAGTGTGGGATGTGCAGGTGATCCTTGCTGGAACTGGCTCCTCTTTGGCTGATTCTTCCCTACAAAATGGGCAGATTGTTAATAGTCCTTACTTCATGAAATTTACTTGGCCAAGATTCAATGAACTTGAATCTTGTCAATTCATACAAAGTCATTCCAAAGCACCTCTTCCTAGCTCTTAGTATTATTACTAGCAACTCTTGGTGTTATCTTAAGTAATGAGTTCTGTTTTCAGAGAAGGAGAGTTTATGATTCCTGAGAAATATGCATTGTGAGTGGAGGCAGTGGCTTGTAAGTGTGGCCACATCTGAAAAGGGGAAGGGACCGAGTGTGATTCAAAGGAAGGATTCTGGAACACAGGCCAGAACAAAACAGGAGAGGAGTTGGGCCAGGCTTAGCAGGTTAGCATGACCAGCACAGAGTGGGCTATTTCCACAGCTTCTGGACGCCAAAGCCATGGGTGGGGGTATCATGTGCATAGTCAGGCCGCTAAGGAAGTCAGAACATCTCTAGCATTTGTGAAACTTGGGCGTGTAGCTGAAGGCTGCTTGTTAGGGAGGACTCTCCAGTTAACAGACAACACAGATACATCGGAACCATTAAGAGTATTTGAATATGCCTTCCTGAAGAAGAGTACCAAGATGGTGGTGACAGGACTCAAAGTGATTCAGTGAACAAACTGTGTCTCTTGGGATTTGGGGTCAGTTGTCTAAGGAACCTTGTCTAATGAATGGGAGCTGTTACAGTGGCCGGACACTTAAAAGAAATCCCACACTAGCTCAGAATTGAGAAATAGTCATTTATTAAGGGGTAAACTCACAAATCAGAATCCTCTGCTTGACTGGTTGAATCAAGCAATCCAAAAGAGCAGCTGGCAGAATGAAGCAAGAGGAACGAGAGAGAAAGGGCACATGCACGTTTGGCTTCCCCATAAATAGTCTAAGAGTCCACACCCCAGTAGGCGAGTAAATATAAGCTGTAATACTTCCTACAGCAGGGAGCACTAGAGAAGCAGACTTTTATTATATGAGATGGGTTTGCTAACCATTTAGGAGCTACTATAGGGTATTAGTTTGCCCTGTGATGAAGCAGGGAAACCCAAGCAATGGAGGTGGCTTACTCAGTAGATCAGTGCTGACCCAAGGAATTCTACCCAGGTAGCCACACTCTCTAAGCCCTTCTGTCAACCCCAAGATCTCATGCTCATATGACCTCCGGAACAGATCTCATTTCTAAGGCTCTTCAGACATAGTCGCAACCTCTCATAGCCAGCTTTCTTCTGTAGCTGGGGGCACACAGAAGTACCCCAGTTTCTGAGGTTCGTGTCAAAGGGAAGATGCAGTCTAGACAGTCAGCTAGAACCAAAGCTCTCAGACTATCCTCTACAATCTAGGCACATGCCTAGCTCTGGAACAATCATTTTTGTTGATTTATACTGGCCAACAGCATATGGCTTGCATCTCTACCCAATAGCCTCTGTCCTTCTGCTGCCATTTGGTTTTAGTCTTTCCTCCGTGTTGCTCAGTGACTCTTAATCTCTGCCTTGTGGGCTGTGGGGGTGCTTATAGATACCCACTTTCATAGAGCTGGGGCTGAACGGGGGTAGGGAATGTCAGATGGCTGGTAAAGATGTAACTTCTATTTTATTCATTGTGGCTTTTTTTAAAAAGGGCTTTTATCTAAGGGATGGAGCTCCTCCTATACTTGAGTCTATGTTTCCAAGCTCCACCAACTATTAATTTTAATTGCAGAGCCTAATAATAGTCAAACTCATTCTCCAATATCCACTGGTGCCAAGATAGAAGCAAACCCAGGAAAGGTGTTCAACACAGATGTTTGGGGACCCTGGGTAAGGCTTCAAAGAACAAAATTCTAGAGGTGTTTCCATGGGAAGGCAGAATACAAGAGGAAACCAGAATAATTTCTCCCAAACCTGGTAGATGAGCCCCACGGAGGCGGCTGCTTGCCCTGTGAGTTAGGCGGCAGGACGCAAAATTAACAGCACACACGAAGACCACTAACTGCTTCATTTATTCCTCCATTTAGTCAGGGAAACATCAGGGCATATTCAGTCTCAGAATGGAAAATTACAGGTTGGAGAGAAAAGAGCCACGTTCGGGATTGACAGCGCGGTTCTGGCCCCGCTCATTCACATGTTTGAGTTTCCCTTAGAAGGAAGAACATGTATACACACGAAGACAAAACTTGAAGGAACACGCACGAGGGAATACCAAAGCCATACCTGTCCCTTTCCTCAGTCTAATCTACACTGCAGATTTGGTGAAAATGTGAGGGACAAGGGGCACATCTCGGAAATCATAACGTTTGGGGCTCAGTTTCTCCTATTTGAGGACGAAAACTCTTTTTAACGTTAACACCAGTCTAGGACTTCTTATTTAAGGCTAGCTTGCTCATCTCTATAAATGCAAGGCCGCATCATCCAGCCTGCTTGGGTTGGATAGTTGAGGTAAATACTGTAAGGTCTACAGGGTTGGAGACTCTAGGAGTCCAGTTCTGAAAAATACCACCCCCATACAAGACCATCATAAATATTACCAGGAAAGACTCATGACACATGGCTGGAAAAAAAATCATATACTTGAACGGGAATGTTCTTAGAGCCTCATAGGCAAGTTGGGGAACTGAGGCCTGGGGAACAATTTTTATTTTTCTTCTGCAAAGTCAAATGGCAAAGTTAATGACTGGAAGTCAAGCTCCCCAGCTGGTAACCTCTGTCAGATACTGCATAAATGTACACTCCCAATATTATTATTGTTGCTGTTTTTTTTTTAAACCAAGATTCCAAAATTGGCAATTTTATCTTTTTAAGTGGAAAAGAATCTGGAGAAAACAAAGTGATTTATGTGGACCACTGGTCCATTTCTATTCGTACTTAGGACTTTTGTGCTGCGATAAAGTGAAAAATCTAACATACCAGATCAAAAGTCAGGAAACTGCTTTTCCGTGAACACATGATGAGAATCATACACCGAGAGAGACATGGAAGACAGCGCCACATGGGAGGGTCAGAAAAACAAATGAGGAAATCAAGTGGATCATGGTGATAACTAGCGGGCTGGTCTAGACTGCTCAGTGCTTTCAACGAACACAGACAACAACACAAGGTTGAGACACCGGAGAGATTAGCTCTAGAGGGGCTGGCAGCCCCTGTCAGAAGTGGGCGCAGATTGACGACATATAACAGCCACTGTCAACTGACCTAAGCCTGCATGACACTGTATCCAGCTCCACATGGCTCTAGGGATAGGTCACTGCCAAATGCCTGTCACCTCAAAAACTGGCTGCCCTTTATTTTTTTATTATTTTTTTCTTTTTAAATGATGATGCACATGAATCAGAGAGGGGACGCCTGAGGCGGAGAATATTTCAAGTGGATGATTGGGGCTGCACATTCTGAACTCTGGACAAAGTGACTGGGATCTTGGTGTCCCCTGGGCCTGGAGCTTTAGTGACAGGCTGGGTATGGGCTTTGATGTCTGCGATTCGCTCTTTAAACTTCTGCTGAAGGAACTTTTCTTCTTTGGAATAGCTCTTGGCAAACACGGACATCAGTAGGCACCCTGCCATGGATGTGCCCCCAATGCAGAAGAGCACAGCCCCCGCTAGCTTGCACGTGTCCAGGGCGCCGTTGAACTGCACAGCATGTGTGTCAACCATCATGAAATCAGCTTCACCAAAAGCTTCAATTTTGGGGGGCACAAGAAAGCCCACTGCCAGGATAGTTAGTCCGAGAATCACAAATACAGTGCCTGAGGTGAGTCCGACCTAGGGAGACAGGAGAGAAGCGGGAGAGGGTAAGCAGCTGGCTCTTTCTGCTTCCATTCAGTCACAAGGGCACCACCCATTTCTTCAGAGTTCTGGGATATTCCCAGCCACCCCCAATGTACATGAAAGATCAACTTAATTGCATACCTAAAGGGGGAGGTGAGAGGGAATTCCAGCCAGAAAGCACAGTCCTAAATCTTGATTGCTGATTGGACAAGCTGAAGGAACCGGCTTTCATTCACCTACCTTGCTTGGTGTTGGGGAAGAAAGAAGCTGCCCTGATGTCCAGAGCTGGCCTCACCCTGTCCTTGAAAACCTTGATGTCCCCAGAGGCTGCCATGTCAAAGTATGCTATGGCAAGCACAGCACATCTCATAGTGTTAGCTCAGACATGCTTAACCTGTGACCATGATGGAAGAACACAAGACCAAGCCACTTCATGATTCTGTCATAGCTTCTATAAAACAAGGTCATCGTGTAGACTGCTCCTTCCAGCCAACAGGCCTGTCTGTTATGCCTTTTCCCAGCAAGGCCGCCCTTTCACTGCAGTCTACCTTCCTTATAGACAGCTTCGTCAGAGAGTTGTCTAGACAATACAGAGTGCCCTTTTGCTTCTGTAGCATCCTCTCAGAATCCCCTAGCCAATGCTACACCCTATAATCCATTCTTTCTCACTCCCTCGTTCTGTTCCTGGGGTGTCATTATCTTCACTGCAACCCAGAATGCTCAACTAACAGATGTGGTTCTTGTATTTGGGGCCTGAGAACACTGACAACCTTTTCATTGCCGACGCCTTTCTCAAGTAATCAGGGAAGAAGGATCGACAGACAGCAGGTAAAGCTGTGGAAGCTCCAGAAGGTCAGTCCCTGGCTAAAAATAGAGCCACTACAGAGTCAGGGCCTGGCAGTCATACAGGTGACCCCATGCTGTTTCTTTTCACATGTGATTGAGTGGAGTTTGTGCAGACGCCAACGTGTAAGAGCAAAAGAGGGAAGACAAACGGCTGTCTTAAGTGCAATGGTTATGTTAGGCTCTCACTTCTGTAACCAAATGCCTGGCAAAGAAACCTAAGTGAGCAAGGGTTTGTTTAGGCTCAAGGAAAGACAGTCCATCATGGTGTGGAAGGCATGGAGCAAAGACAAGGCTTGCTTACATCTCATTGGGTCAGGAAGCAGAGGAAGGGGACTACAGGAGTCAGTGGGTGTGATGGCTAATCTTGGCTGTCAACTCGACTACAGCTGGAATCAACTAAACTCAAGTGGCTGAGCAAGGCTGTGAGATATTTTCTTGATTGGGTGGATCATGGAAAGCGGGAAGATCCACTTCTCCATTGCTGGTGGGAGTACAAACTGGTACAGCAGCTTTGGAAATCAGTACAGAGATTTCTCAGAAAATTAGGTAACAACCTTCCTCAAAACCCAGCAATACCACTTTTGGGTATATTCTGAAAGGATGCTCAATTGTATCACAAGGACATGTGCTCAACTATGTTCATAGCAGAATTATTTGTCATAACCAGAACTTGGAAGCAGCCTAAATACCCTTGACCAAAGAATGGATAAAGAAGATGTGGTACATTTATACAATGGAGTACTACATAGCAGAAAAAAATAATGACATCTTGAAATTTGCAGGCAGATGGATGGATCTGGAAAACATCATATTGAGTGAGGTAACCCAGACCCAGAAAGACAAGTATAATATGGACTCATTCATAAGTGGCTTTTAGACATAAAGCAAAGAAAAACCAGCCTACAATTCACAATTCTAGAGAACGTAGACAATAATGAGGACCCTAAGAGAGACATACATGGCTCTAATCCACATGGGAAGTAGAAAAAGACAAGACTTCCTGAGTAAATTGGGAGTGTGGGGACCATGGGAAAGGGTAGAAGGGGAGGCAGGAGGAAGAGAGGGGAATGGAGAAAAATGTATAGCTCAATAAAAATAAATAAAAAAAGTGGGATGATCAATCATAAGCCTCGGTCACACTTTCTGGCATCAGCACACATAAGAGGGTGTGGAAGAAGGAAGTTTCCCTTTTGTTGCCTGCTTGCTCTCGCTCATCCTGTTGCTGAGGTACTCCATTTGCTGTTATCAAGATCTGTTTATTTGGGATTTCGGTGTAGGCCAAAGACTCGCAACTCTCTAGGAATCCCCTGAGACTCCAGCACCAGATTGAGATTGCTGAGAATCCAGCCTCGTGGACTGAATGACTACTGAATCCTTAGTGTTTTGGTCAGGAAGCAGCCTTGGTTGACAACCCTGATCACAGCCTATGAGCCACTCCAATACTCTCCTATGTATTTATATGTCTATATATCTATGTGTCTTTATCTACATATTCACTCTATCAGTTCTGTTCCTTTAGAGAACCCTGGTTGATCCAGTTGGCGTTCTCCACCTTTTTCCTTTTATAGCCATTCTGGGACCCCAGCTCATGGGATGGGGCTTTCCATATTCAGGGAGGATCTGTCCTCAGTTAGTCCTCTGTGGAATTATCTTCACAGATACTCCAGTGATTGTTTCCTTAGTGTCCTAGGAGTTTCTTATTGCAACCAAATTGACAATGAAAATTAATCAACGAAGAGCAGGGAGGCAAAGTGATGTGCCCAGTGGTGATCAGAGCCCAGAGGGGTGCGGGCTCTCATCCTGCCATTTGTACTGAATCGTAGAAGTAAAGATACTTGGATGCTTGTATTACCATTTTCCCTATTTATAGGATGACAAATGATTATAGTATCTACGTTATGACACTGGGAAGGTTAAATATGACTGTGTTCAAAAGCACTTAACTTTGATTTGGTAAGTAACAAATTCTAATGACTAGCTGTTATGAGGGGAAAAAAAACTTTGGCTAACAGTATTAAAACATTTACTTATCATTTGGAATGAGGATTATTTAACACAGCTATCCATTCTTAAATATCTTTTTTTCATTTCCTCCCATTTCTAGTTGCTTTAAGTTAGAGCAGCAAATATATATCCTACCTAATCTTGGAATTAAACACGTTTATTTATCTGTTGAATTTTAGAGATCATGCATTGATTGAGGGGCTTGGCTAATAGAAGAAAAATGCCCTCATTAACTCATGACCTTGGCAAGGGCATCGCTGCTGTTTAGCATCAGGTGTGGCCCAGACACCATGTTAGATGCAGGTGCATTTAGTAAAGATGCTTATGAGAAGCAGAGATTTTCATAGTCACCATCGGAAGCCGCAGTCTTGGAGAAGCACTTTTCAAGCTTCTGTAAAATCAAGTATAATCTGGATCTCTATGATTCCCCTGCTTTCCTTATGCCCACAATACTATTCCAATTACTGTTTTGCATAGTCTCTTTCAATTATTTTAATTTCAAGAGTTTTATTCACCATATATGGGCACACCTCATATATACATGATACAGTGAAAAAAAAAAGAGAAACCAAATAAGACAGTGTGAACTTAATTAGAAACTGAGAAGTTGCTCTGCATAAGATGCAAGGAACAGGATGGTAAAATCATGTTTTTGGATTGCTAAATATGATGGTAAGTAAATTCACCTTCAGAGACTAGCCATTATTTATAACTCTTCAAAAATGACTCACATTGAAAAATTCTGGAAGCACAAACTAAATTAACTTAAATATCCATGGTGACGTGCTTCCCATGTCACTAAATTACCTCCCTCCCCAAGAACTGTGCTGGAGCGGAGAAAAATATATAGCTCAATAAAAACAATAATTAAAAAAAAAAGGTGCTGAAGATCAAAAACCAAGGAGAAAAGCGGTAGCTGTTTTCATTCACAGTTTCTGCAGAGCGAGGAAGGTGGCACCCCTGTCTTTTCTGCCTCGCCCCTTCAAAGTTCATACTCAAGCCTGACTCTCAGAAAACACTCCAGCCTCTAGCCTACTGCAGTGGCCCCCGGTGATTGAGCTCAGCACAGCCTGCCTCCCAGCTGAGCAGTACGCAAGACAAAATCCACTCTGAGAATATCACTCACAGGCAAAACGCAAACTGTAGCTTCCACATGGAGGAAGCTGCGACCATTGTCGGAACTAGAGGGTGACTGGACAGGCAGAGTGTCCTCTCTTTCCTTAAGAGTCTTGTAGGAGGAGGAGACTGTCATCACGGGCTGTCTGCAATCAAGGCAAGTGTCATGGAACCTCCAAGCAGTGTGCCCAGGGAGGGACTGAAAACAGGAGACAACTTGTGATGAATGAATGAATCAAGATGAACCTGCTTTTTAAATTTCCACGAGAATCACGAAAGGGAGGGAAGGTGATCCTGAGATCATGTCAGAATACTGGAAGGAACTAAAATTTGGGGAGCGATTCCATCAGGCACAATGTGGACTGTATCTGAATGTACTTGTGGGTTAAAGTCGTCTTCGGTCTAAGACAAAACTCAGAGAGCATGGACACACAAAGGTCATTTAAGGTTCTAAAGAAACCCTAGAGTTTTGTACAGCACCATGTGTTGGGAGGACCAGAATGCTGCTGGAGGGCTCCCAATAGAGCATCCTCAGGCTACGGGACAGTGGGGTCACTCTCAACGGTGAGTTTAAAGGTGACATCGTTAGGTGATGATGAACTTGCACAGCAGCAGCAGTCAGTGCCTGTGCTGTGGCTCCTGATGTCTACCTGAGCTATGCAGAGCGTGTGTGAAACCCATCCCCTGCTGCAGCCAAGGAGAGTTGCCTATAGAGGCGTTTGGGCTCCAGAAACCAGCCAAAAACTGCTGTTATTTTGACCAGCATCTCCTTTCTTTTTCTCCAGTGTGCTGGAGAAGTCTGGATCCACAGTGTGTGCCAAGCTGGTAGACAGAACCAGCAAGCAGCCTCTGCAGCCCAGCTGTTCTCGCATAGAGGAGGTAATAAAGACTGCCGGAGGCCAGAAGCTGCTAGGCAGAGAGGAGCAACCTGGGGAGGCAGGTGAAGGCCGGATGGAGGTAGGCGAGAAGGAGCCATCTGGGGTGGAGATCATTCAAAGCACATGGGGAGTGCGGGGGATTTTGTTTCCCCCCCCCTCCCCAAGGACTGCTGTTGCTTTCTCTGTAAGCCCTGAGCTCTGAGTAGTGACTCAACCCCTGGCCATGGCAGGGTCTTGTTCATCATTTCCTACCTACCTCAGGTAGATGCTGGGCTCAAGCGAAGCCTGATGTCAAACTTTGGCTCAGGTGCTTCTTCAGGCCTGACCCCATGCAGTGTGCTTGGCATCCCTCCACCGGGATAACAAACTTGCCCATCAGCCCTTGCCCTTCACAAAGATTATCCCCTCCAGCACACAAGCAAATGCAATAGCTTTCATATTCAAATAATGTTTTAGTTCCCATGTTCAATTCTTGGGGTCATTTCTAACCTTGACATCCAATCTTAGTCCTCTGCGATGCCATGAAAGCAGCATTCTCTTGGTTATCAAAGCTCCCGAGTCACATACTCCTGGAAGTATGTGTTTACCCCAGATTACAAGACACTTCTTAAATAGAAATACTGTCTTTTTTCCTCACTGTACTCAGAACACTGTATGGCTGAGGAGAAATTCTTATTGCATCCAAAGCTTTCTGTGAGCCTCTGGATGCATTTCCAGCTCACCGTGGACCCTTCTTTCCAAACCTGCACACTCCTGCTAGCTCAGTCTGGGTCCCTGCTGCCTGCTGTGCTCTCCACCCCTCCACATTTGCAAGGCACTTCTTTCTACCTTGGTGCCCTGCTTCTGCAGATGCACAGGGAGTCTCTACTGGGGTAAAGTTCTCCAGGCTGCTCCAGATGCTCACTTCCTTCGGCCTCCCAAACTCTGTGTGCCACTGTGCACCATGACCATTTCAATAGGAACAGGTAGCATGCTGGATTGTAATAACTTGCGTCTGTCTCTATTTAATTGTGGATGTCTATATTTTATTCAAAGGCAAGAAAGTGGACCTTATATAATCTATCGCATTTACCAGGAGGTCTAGTGTGTGCTGGGCCAACAAGTATTTGTAGAAAGAAAGATTGGCACCGAGATAGATGCCATGTATGAATAAGCAGGGAGGGCAGAGTACAGATTTGAACTCAGGTCCATGTGATTGTACTCTTTGTTCTCACTAAGCCTCTCCTGTCTGCTCACTGCTCAGGGCAGAGTGTTAGCTAACAAGGTACTCTAAGCACAGCCCCAAGGGACAGACTGGCTCGACTTTTGCAATTCCATAGTGGAAAGCAAAGGGGTTGCCAGCACCTTGAACTACCTATAGTTGCAATTTGAAAACCAAGAAAAAAAATTAGACAGGGTCTTACTAGGTCATGTGTGCAATGTGGCCTTTGTCTGTATTCTTAAAAGTTCTTCCTGAGAACATTTCCACTCAGCCTGCTTTGGAAGTTCCCCAGAATAGCCAGTCTCTGCCCTGAGTAGAGCAAATGTCACCAAGACAGACTCCTTAGGCTGTGCAGGCTGACATTAGGCTTTTATATGAAGGATTTTATTGGAATGTAGCCTCGGAGAAACTTCGACCTATATTTTTCTCAAATAGGCTTAACAAGATAGGGTACAAAGATTTTGGACCTTACTTGTGTAAGATAGAGGGAAGATATTAAAATTATAACTGAGTTGGTCATCTGTTGTGAGTTCTTTATTTTCAGTCCACATTTGTATATTGTTTAATGGTTTTGCAGTTCCCAGTTCACACACCAGTGCTCTGGACATACACAAATGCTTCAGTAGTCTTTATGTCAGTGGCGTTTAAAGATACTGGCAGTGTAAATATACTCTACTCATGCATATACATCCATTTATATGTATGGAGAGAGAAAAGAGGGGAAGTGAGAAAAAAGAGGGAGAGAACTTAGGAGGGAAGATGCTTGCCATTGGTGCAGGCCAGTAAGGATTCGTCTGAGCTGCGGTGTCTGCAGAACAAGGATGCTAACTGGTCTAACTCTAATATAGTTCTGTGACAATGGTATGATTTTGAATGAACATAGGTCATTCACACTAACAGTCATGTTACCCAATATGAAAATCACTAGATTTTCAGTTTTATTTTTATTTTAGCACCATGGTATTCTAAATGGCATGAAGTCATGACTGCTAACACATCCAAACCTTATTGAACATATAGCAGCCATTGTCTTAAGCAATTTCTAAGTACCATCTCAAATCTTCCATGGTTTCCATGGTGAGCGAAGCGTCACTACTCAGAGTTATGGGGTATGGAATGCAGGAGTGTGGGTTTGAATTCGTATGGGCCTGAGATAGGAATCTATGCTCATATTCACTAGGCTACACTGCCTCTTGATATACTGTGTTACCAACACAGCAGTTTAGGTCAATGTCTGGGTAAAATGTGTGGAACCTTTCAGAATAAGCAGGAAATGTTGGAGCTGGAGGAAACCCTGGACACCCTTTAAGGTCAAATCTTTTCAGAGACCTTCCCTAAATCTTCCTCCATTTCTTAAGCCCTGGGGCATTCCAGTATCCCTTTCGCTTCTGTGATCATTGCCTTTCCCCGGGTTGTCTCAGCTGGCACCTTCTGTACATTTTACGCCTAAATGACATCAAATCCATGAGCTGAGACAGTACATTGAATTTGCTGTTCGAGTTTTACCTCTCTTAGTGCAGTAGTTACGTTTGGTGTGACCCAGCCAAAGTCACACTCATGGTTTTTGCCTGTTCCTCTCCTCTATTAGATGTCTTCATCCAAGCAGGTCAAAGCATCATCCAGGACATAAGCTCAGGCTGAGGGCCTGAGATCTTGCTTGATGACTTTTCATTGACATATCTTGACAGCCTGGCTCTCAAACTTATTGCTAAGCTGGGCTGTTTTAAAGCATCACTGATAGCTGCCTAATCTAAACTGCCACTGCTCTTGCCTGGGTACTTTAACCACTTTGGAATGCATCTAGCTGTGTTTGCCCAATAACTTTTCTGCTCATTCAGTTACCAGAATGATCTTGGTAACATATCAGTCATCCTGAATTCCTCAGATGATGGAGTTCCCTGTTTCTTGAGGCAGCAACCTATGTCTTTGCTATTGTCGACAGGACCCCACAGAGACCATCTGGGCTCTTATTTTTCTGAGTTCAGTGTCTTCCCCAATTTAACTCTACTTCCAGACTGGACCTCTTCCCTCCTCCCAGGGGCTTTACAGTTGCTATGTTCCCAGCTCCAAACGACATTCAGCTTGAAAATATTCTGGTCTGCTCCACCAGCCCATGAGCCCATCTGTATTTGCCCAGTTTCATCTTTTCTGCCAACCTTTCTCTACCTTGATCTTTTCTATCCCTGTACTTCTGTGCCCATCTGCATTACCTCCTTCCTCCTATGTGGATAGCTGGTGTTACTTGACATGCTGTAGGGGCCTTTACGTAGGTACGCCAGCATTCATCTCCCTCTTCTTCCTGACTACAGAGGCATGGGCTTAACTGCCTTAAGTTTCTGCTACCTGGGGCAGACTATAAGCTTCACATGGGCAGGAAGTATTTTGTTTCCTGTTCATCATTTCCAACATTTCAACACAATCCTTCTACAGATGCAGTCAGTGCTGAGTATCTCTTGAGACACTGAATGGATTTTTCTAATGAGTCTCCTCAGAGCCTCCTCAGTCCTCTGAGCCACATGGTCCTCTATATGGTGAAGGCAGAGCTGGTTTATGACTATGAAGCCATGCCTCAGCCTTAAGGCTTGCTCCACACCTAATGGTTTCTTTCTAATAGTTGTTCTAATGTGCCAACTGATACTGAGTTAATTCCTTCTCTCAACCCTGTAATACAGCACATGAAAGAGCAACTGAAGGGAGGGTTTATTTAACTCACAGCTTGAGGGAATACAACCCGTCATGGTTGGGGAAGGCTTGGCTCCTACTGGAGTGGCAGGGGCTTGCTCCCTCTGGACAACCAGGAAGCACAGAGCAGGTAGGAAGCCAGGGTACAGTGTAAATATCAAAGCTCATACTCTAGGAACCCCTTAGTTCAGCTAATCTCCACCTCTTAAAAGTTTTGCAAACTCCCAAAGCAGCACCAGGGCCTGGGGACCAATGTTCAAATTCAGGAGCCTGCGGGGGAAATTTCACATTCAAACTATTGCTGATACCTGTCCAGACTGTAGGGAGGCTGAAAGAACACCATGTTCTGCACACGAGTGACTTCACAGCTAATGAGTGAAGTGGCCAGTTAATGACTAGCAAGACCACTAATTGCCTGGCCTTTGAACCCTCTTCTGTTTAATCAGCTTGTCAAGTAATTATGTAGTATTAAGAGGGTTTTTTTTTTTTTTGGTTCAAAATTTATAATCTCTTTTCCAAGGGAAGAACAATGCATTTAATGTCACCAGGATTGAGGCTCACACAGACAGCTTCTCAGTTCTCTGTAGCCCCAGTATTTTCCACATGTGATATTTTTTCTCTCAACGTTCCTTTCCTCACCTTCCAGAATACCGAGCTCCACCTATTAGGCGATCTCTGGATCTGGAAATCATCCTCATACTCCCAGATGGAGGCAGTGCAGTCCTCATAAAACTGATGCAGGTAGGACCGAACTCCATAGCGCTGGTACCCGCCCTCAGTCTCAGTCTGGGCTTGCTTGGACCCACAGGTGTTGCTGCAAGAAGTCATCTTCCCAGCTGGAAAGACAGCACAGACAGAGATCAGCCCTATGGGCTAATTCATAAATCCCAGGACCAAAAGGCATCTTAAAGGCACAAACCAGGCTGAGTCCTGCCAGGCCAGCCTATTTAAACAGGCCAGCATCTTTTCTTAAGGGAAATGGCACCTTTAAAGACTCATTAGGTTATCACCCACCCTTCTCTTCTGTTGGATGCAAAATCACCCCCCAGTAATTGATGTCCAGAGCTGGTTCTCCCCAAACAAAGGAGATACAACAGCTTCAGCCACTTAAATTATATAAAACACAAGGACAAGGTACACGAGAAATGGCAACAAAGAAGCCCTGACAGCTGACCTTGAATGTAAGAAATTTGTAAGCAATCTCACTGGCCATGGCGGAATTGGTCTTAGGTCATCCGGATCTTTAACCACATTCCTCTCTAGATTGTGTGCAGTATTCCTCTTAGTGATTTCCAACTTTGCATTCAGAGCTCATGAACTGCCTCTGATAATTTAACTGATTGCTAAGTCATATGGAAGCTTTGCTAGAAAGCTGTGGAGCAGCTAACATACTTCATTAATCACAAGCGACTCGGCCATTAATTTGCATCTCCCCAGTTCCAGCACTGTGTATTTCTGTGGTTATTTGTGGCTACGTCTGTCCATGTATTTCCGTGGTTATTGTGGATACGTCTACCCATGTATTTCCGTGGTTATTTGTGGATACATCTGCCCATGTGGGTGTGAAAGTGTAATGCAGACAGTAGACCTTCCTACTATTTCTTACAAGGTGTCTAGTATAAATAAGACTTAAGAAAATTAAATAAGACTTGCTATGGGTGAGCTCCCTAGATGCAAGATGAAAATTTAAGATTGATTTTCTTTTCCAACTGTTACTCTTGGAGAGAGCACTTTATATAGATTTCACTAAAAATTCACATTAATTTTTTAAAGATTTATTTATTTATTATATATACAACATTCCTTCCATGTATTTTTGCATGCCAGAAGAGGACACCAGATCTCATTATAGATGGTTGTGAGCCACCATGTGGTTGCTGGGAATTGAACTCAGGACCTCTGGAAGAGCAGTCAGTGCTCTTAACCTCTGAGCCATCTCTCCAGCCCCTCACATTAATTTTTTAAAGTAAAACTTTATTAATGCTTTTGGGTGTTTTGTTTGCATGTATGCCTGTGTACCATTTGCATACCTGGTGCCTGCTAAGCTGAGAAGAGGGTGTTGCATTCCCTGGAAATGCAGTTACAGGTGATTATGAGCCACCATGTGGGTGCTGGGAATTGAACTATGGTCCTCTAAAGAACAGCTAGCCAGTGCCCTTAACCAATAAACCCAATTTTTTTTGTTTATTCTTTTTAGTAAAGAATTACTGAGGGACCATAGTTTTGGTGGGTGACTTCTCAGTTCTATGTTCTTTGATTTTTTTTTTTATCTCTGTATAAGCAGATAAGTGTTTAGCTAGAAATGGAAATTCCTGGTACTTCTCAGTTTCTTGTGGACGATTTTCCTTTTATGGACATAAACTGTATATGAAAAAGTGAGACACAAAGTTATTTTCTCACTGTGAAAATATTTTTCCAGGAAAGTCCAGGACTGTGCTATAATCTAGACCAAGAAAGATGCATTAAGTGTTCTAATTGCTTCTCAAGGTACCAGCTAGTAAGGTCCATAGGACAAAAATGTTCTCTATAGTTCTGTTAGATTACTTTATGATCAATTAGTTTAGTTTGATAATGTGATGGCTGTCTTAACTGCCAACTTCAAAGAATTTACTATCACCATAGAAATAGTTTTAGGTTTACCTGTGCAGGGTTCTTTGCACTGGGTTAATGGAGGTGGAAAGAATTACTGTAAAGGCAGGTAGTGCTATTCCATGGGTTGAAGACCTGAACTCAACAATGGACTGAGCACCACTGGGTTGAGGATCTGAACTCAACAATGGACTGAGCACCACTGGGTTGAGGATCTGAACTCAACAATGGACTGAGCACCACTGGGTTGAGGACCTGAACTCAACAATGGACTGAGCACCATTGGGTTGAGGACCTGAACTCAACGATGGACTGAGCACCAGCTTTGATCTGTCCTTTCTGAACACGGATGTAATGTACCAGCCGCCTCAAGTTCCTGCTGCCATGATGGGCTATGCCCTAGATCTGGGACCCGTAATAGCTCCTTACTTGCATAGGTTGCTTTGGTCAGTATCTTGTAACCAATATAGATAGATGTGGTGCAAGCTGAGGACAGCCTTCTGGGAACCAAGCAAGCCCTCAAGCACACCGCTTTATAAGTACTCCTGTCACAGATGAATTTGCTTAGCACATATAGTCAAATTTGAGAAAATAGGCTCTTGATGTCAGAAAAATGGCATTCTTGGCCATTGCCCTCATCTTCCCATATTCTGGCTAGCATTACATTTAACACCTGTGTACATTCTTGGTTCCAAAACAACTACCTTTAAAAACAATTCATTCAGGAGAACATGTCAGTAGAGGTAAAGGTAAGCAGTTATGTTTTGTTTATTTTTTTTTAACTTTCAGACATCCAGAGGGGTTTTATTTCACAACTAGTCAAGGTTTTAGAAAGCATTTTGTCTGATGGATCAAAAGAATGGTACCTATTTTTTTTATGTCTTAAGTTTAGGATGATCTCTGCAGTACCCTCTATTTAATGCTTACACAATGACTGTGATTAATAAGAGCCTATTACCAGTGACACATAAGAAGAATAATTTTAGAGTTGCCTTCTTTGAAGGCATTCCAAGAAAAAACTTTCAGTCAACCGGAGAAGGGGTTGGTATTACTAACTCTGCTTTGTCATTGAGGAAACTGAGGTACAGAAAAATCATCTTGCTAAAGGTTACACTATGAGTCAGGGAGGAGACAAAAGATGACAGCCACTACAATATGCAGGAGCTTGGTCTGAATCATGGCTTCTTCAGTCGGAGTCATATCTCCTAAAGGTTTTATATAATTTTCAGGTCTCCTACAGAGCATCTGAATCTTTAACATGAAGAAAGAACAAAGCCAAATACAAGAGGAATGAAGTGTCCCTTATAGCAACAAGAAGAGCTGCTTCCCCCTATTGCTGAAGTCCCAACTCTTAGGACTCAGCTCTGATGCTGAGCAGGACCTTGGAAGTCATTTTGTTTATTCTCTGCCATGCTCATTTCCAGAACCCTAGGCTAGTGTTTCTTCATGAGACTCATTAGTTAAACTTTGCTAGCCACAAAACAAAACACCATTATGAATATAAAAAAGCAGAGGGAGAAAGCACCATGAAGCAAACATTTTTAGCCTGAGTATGCATTCTGCTTCAAAATGGATCATTAGTGATGCTGGATCCATTCCCGAAGAGGAATCTTGCTGGATTTTACTTAATCTTTCAAGAGCACAAAACATGACTAGGAAGAGCATGGCATGTATCATGCTAGCCACACAGAACAGACAATGGATTCAGATATTTGGTTCTGGTCATGAGATCATACTAAGCTTATTAACATCTCTGGACTGTGGTTTTATCATCCTCACATTAAGAAGCTTAAGACAAGACAGGTTCTGTTTCTTCCAGATGTGTTTCTCTAGGAGTTGTCAGTTAAACGTCTTCAGAATGAGTCATTTGCTTTTTGTTGGCCAAACAACTGAACTTACTGATTCCTCATTTCCTTGTGGACTGTCAGTCTCAAATGTCCCTAATTCCAGTGTGTATAACGTTTAGCGAAGGGGGATGTAAGCCATTACCCAGGCTATCTATTTACATTAAACAGACCGAATGCTTGCAGACTGTTCATGTAACACGCTACTTCAGTATCATACATATTGTCTTCAATAGTAGCCCCTGAATGGGGGGTGGTGACTGAGAAGATCCACACACCTTCCCCAAGATACCACTAGTGGGGATTGATGTCTAGAGGAGAATGACTACTTTGGAAATGAGTTTTAAAATCCAGCATGGTGGAGTGAAGGTTTGGGGGTCTAAGAACCTCAACAGAGTTATATAACGCAAGAGTAGTTAGTAAGTCAGAAGTTAGCTGTCTCCAGACAAAGAATGTTATAGTTATTTGGCATCTCCTCTGTTGATTGACACCTGTGGTGTTAGACCAAGGATACACAAAGTCATGTTACAAAGTGATTATAAAGCTGGGGTTATTAAATTATATGCAAGGAACTAGAATGGAGTCAGGAACTCAAAGTTGGGCACAGGTTTTTGAACTTGACTCAGTACTACCTTACTGGGCAAGACTTTGTTAGCTTGTTCTAAATATCTGGATCAGCAGTCACCAAAACAGTACCGCCAACATTATTTATGGCTATTATAAAGGGAAAAACCTTAGGGGCATCCTTTCTTCTTCTTTTTTGTTTTGTTTTTGTGTGACAGGGTTTCTTGGCTGTCCTGGAACTCTCTCTATAAACCAGACTGGCCTGCCTCTGTCTCCCAAGTGCTGGCATTAAAGGCATATGTCACAATTGCATGACTGAAGACTCCTTTCTTTAGAGAAATCGTTATTATTCAGGAGGTACGAGCATAGACGCTGATAAGAGAACCTTCTAGAATTATATTTAAATGAGATACTGCTGGCATATAACTTGTAAATATGCTAGTGGTGCTTCTCGTACCCCCTCTCTTTGTGTGGAGAGGTCCAGGTCTGTGGTCCAGGTTCGCACTGAATTAACTCTGTGTAGCTGAGACTGGCTTTGAGCTTCTGATCCTCTGAACATCAGCAGTTCTGGGATCTCAGACATGTACCACCATGCCTGGTTTGTGCAGGGCTAAGGATCAGATCAGGGAGGCAAACATTCTACCAACTGAGTTATATCCCCAGTCTTGAATCACGACAGAATCCAGACAGTATTCCATCTGTGTGGGGCTGTTGCTCACCTAAGAAAAGGGATTTCTTCACATTCTCCCTGAAGGACCTTGCAGATACTACAAATGAGGACCATCCACAGCTTTCTTCTCCCTATTATTCGTCTTCAACAAAATGGCCTTC